TTCCTTGTGTTCTTCTTTCAGCCAGTGTCAAAAATGAGTGATCCATTGGGATGATAGTTATAAATAATCAAAGAAAATGCTTTTTTTTTTGTGTGTGAGTGCATTGTCCCTTTTTTCGTCAGCATATAGACTTTAGTATATCAAACTTCAGTAGTTAAGTTTATGCCATTATGCTACAATGTGGGTTTATAATGTTTATGCATCTAACTTAGATTGTATAGATCATTTTTGGTCATAGGTCAATAGGTCTTTTGTATTCGAGACCTTTCCTAGATGTAGGACTGCACAGATAGAATAGAAAGTTCTCACTTTGATTTCACTGTGCCAAAGAGGATACTTCTGAGTGGTTATTCCCTTTGTGATGGACAGATGGTTGTTTTGCTTTTCTACTGTTTTCAACTGTGATTTAAATAAATTTAATTCCTGCAGTATTCCATAGGAAGCTGTTGAGGAGCGACTAAAAATACTAACCAGCAAGCTCTCAAAATCACACTCTCTTACTGAGTAATATTGCCTGCTCATTGGGATGCTTTGCACCCGTGTAAGCAAAAGTTCATGATCTCTTTGCACTGTGACACTCTCTTGTGATAAAAAGCATTATTCTGTGGAATGTTGTTAGCTGATGGTGATATAAATACAGATGGTTTGATTTTACAGAGTAAAATATTTTGTTTTGCAAACACTGCATTATGAAGAATTATTGTTATTGCACTATCATAGGAGTAAAGATGTTGGTTGCATGGGACCTCTGGAAGCCGTTTAGTCCAGCCTCTGACCTGAAACATGACTTTTGCCAATGATATATCAAATCAGCTGTGGCTTTGTCTTCTAAAACTTCAATGAAGGATATTTCCTAGTCAATCTAGATAACCTCTTCCAGTACTGCACTAACCTCCTAATTAACATACTTTTCCTAATGTCCAATCTGCAAGTTGTCCCTGATGCTTTCAGAGTCATGTGAATTGAAGTCGTCTAGTCCAGCCCCACAAAGTTGAAACTGTGGGCATTACTCCTTGTTATACAATCTGTTTCTACTCAGAAGAGTTTGGCTTCTTCAACTAGATCTAGAGATCCAACCCAATACATTCTATGATTCTGTGATAAGTAGTTGTGGGCAGCTATTAGGTCACCCGTTAGCCTCCGCTTTGCCAGAAAAACTTAGGCTTCCTCAACTATTTTACATTTTATGCCCCTAATCATCTTGGTAAACCTTCACGAGACACTGTCCTGTTTCTTAGCATCATTCTCACACAGAGAAGCCCAAAAGTGGACATAGTACTCTAGGTGGAGCCTCATGAGTTCCAAGTAAGGGAAGAAAATGTGCTGTACACTTCTCCTAGTGTAACCCAGTCTGAAGTTTGCCTATATGACAAGAGGACAGTGCTGGCTCAAGTTTAACAACCAGGTCTTTTTTGGCAGTGCTGCTACTCTGATAGTTGGTTTCTAGTCCGTACAAATGCGTTCCTCCCCAGATGCAGAGATTGGCACTTCTGCCAGTAGAACTTCTATCTCAAATTTCTCAAGGTCTCCTTGGACTGAAATTCCATCATCCTTTAGTTCTCATGATATAGGTATAGAACCATTACCTATGTACCTCATAATAGAATGGCAAAGTTGATGAATCTCTTTGCACTTTTTTGAAAGACAAAAGCAAAGAGATACTACAAAGTGACAGCTTCTTTGCCACAGTTTATCTGATGCTAGAACAGACTGAAACATTCAGAGCTGAACGAATTGGATTTTTTTGTTCATAATTATCTAGTTTGTTCATAAAATACTTCAGAAAAAACTAAATAATTTGAAATAAGAATGGCGTATTTTCTGTCTTAAATAATTTTTTAATATTGATATAATTTTTATTCAATAATTTCTTTGCCATTATTCTATATTATGTTGTATTTTTAAAAGAAAATTGGCTGTATTAGACTTACCAGAAGCAACTGAAATTGCTCAGTTGAACCGCTTATGCTTAACAGAAAAATTATGATGAATTTATACCAATATGTTATAGATGCGATCTGCTTGCATTGAACACTTCTGTCACGTAAGTTATTCATCAAACCTTTTAAAAGATAATCTGATACTTCAGTTTCAAATCATTGACTTGAATCATAATTAATATTTAGCAGCTGTGTAGACAGCACAATCGATCCATTCCAAACCTCACTTACTGGAAATTTCTCCTTATCCAAGATGAGGCCCAAACCTCAGCATGTTCAAATATATGTGGTTTGCACATATAAATGTACCGGTCAACTTTCTTAAGGTCAGTTGATTCTGGAAGACTTAAGTACTTCTGGATGATGATCATCTAAAAGTCTTGCTGAACAATTAGGATGTTAGGAACTCAGCATGCTTTCAGATAGGGTGTTTGCTCATCAGGACATGTTGTGCTACTAGGGACCTATGTCTGTCACATAGCAGGAATCTCGTATACCTGATCTCTAGAAGCTTGAAAAATCTTCAGTAATTGATTTTGTTCTGCAGTGTCTGTTTGACTTTCTCACAAAACTGAACGCCTGAAGTTAACAACAGGTTTTTAGAACTTACACCATTCATAATTCCCCCACCAAAACTCTTTTGCTTCTAAAAATGTGCTAGTTTTCATTACCTTATTTAAGAAGGAATGATACTAAATTTTCATATTTGTTTCTGCATGCCTTTTGTAGTTTTACAAGACTTGTTGAATGATGTAAAATCTGAAAGCACTGTTTTAATCATTATTTCAGAATATTTTGCAGGTTTATTAAGTGTCAAGTAAATGCAAAAATATGGGACATTTAGTTTTGCCTAATGTTTTGACTTTCAAAACAATTTCCTTTTTTAAATTGTAGAACACGTACAATGTAGTATAACAGGTAGAACTGTTATATTTAGAGCTCAGTCCAGCATGTTACAAAGCACATTGTGTTTGGACTAGCAAAGTATTAAAGCTCTTCCTTCTAGTATGTATGCAGTGGAATTTGTTTTTGTACTTAAATCATCTTGAAAAATGGAAACAAGCTGGTCTAATCTGTTTAGTTTGTTAGCTTTCACTTTGAGGTCCTTCTGCACCAGTGCAACATTTGTTTTCTAAACCTGACAAGACAATGCTTATGCAAAAATATTAGGAGTAGGAAATTACATGCCCATTCTGCTCTGCATTTTAACGAAGGTATTTAAACAATACCTGCAATTTGTGCTTAGCCTGTCTTGGAATATATGTAATATATTCCAAGATATGCAAGCTTTCTACTAGATTGGGCTCATAAAAACAAATCCGCAGTGTGGGGAAAAAGGTATATTGAATGCAATGACAAAAAAAAATAGAAAAAAAATTATAGTTTGATTTTTTTTTTTCCCTCCAGTCAGTGAGCATTATTATTTTAAAAAATGTTGAAAATTTGTCTTGGACTTGTTTTGCTATGAAAATGTGCATCACAGAATCACAAGGTGGTTGAGGTTGGAAGGGACCTCTGGGCGTCATCTGGTCCAACCCCTGCTCTAGCAGGACCACACAGAGCTGGTTGCCCAGGACCATGTCCAGTCGGCTTTTGAATATCTCCAAGGATGGAGACTCCACAACCTTTCTGGGCAACCTGTGCCAGTGCTCACCCTCACAGTGAAAAAGTGTTTCCTGATCTTTAGAGAGAATCTCCTGTGTTTCAGTTTGTGCCCATTGCCTCTGGTCCTGTCACTGAGCACAACTAAAAAGAGCTTGGCTCTGTCTCCTTCGCACCCTCCCTTCGGGTGTTTACATGTATTGATGACATCTCAGCTGAGCCTTCTCTTTGCCAGGCTGCACAGTCCCATTGCTCTCAGCCTTTCCTCATAGGGCAGGTGCTCTGGTTTCTTAAACATCTCCGAGGCCCTTCGTTGGACTGTCTCCAGTATATCTATGCCTATCACTGTGGAGGCCAGAACTGGACACAATACTCCAGGTGTGGCCTCACCAGTAGAGGGGAAGGATCCCCTCCCTTGACCTTCTAGCAATACTTTGCCTAATGCAGCCCAGGGTACTGTCAGCCTTCTCTGCTGCAAGGGCACATTGCTGGCACATGTTCAACTTAGCGCCCACCAGGATGCCCAGGTCCTTTTCTGCCAAGCTGCTTTCCAGCCGGATGGCCCTCCCAGCATGTACTGGTGCATGGGTTTGTTTCTTCCCAGGTGCAGGACTTTGCACTTCTTGTGGAACATCATGAAGGTTCTATCAATGTGTTGAAGTCCCTCTGGATGGCAGCACAACCCTCTGGCATATCAGCTACTCCTCCCAGTTTTGTGTCATCTGCAAACTTGCTGAGGGTTATGGGAGACAGTTTCATAGGCCTTACTGAATTATAGGTAGACAACATCCACTGTTCTCCCCTAGTCTACCAGGCAAGTCATTTCAACATAGAAGTGTATCAAGTTGGTTAAGCATGACTTCCCGTTCGTGAATCTATGCTGACTACTTCTGACGGTTTTGTTGTCCTTCCTGTGCCTCAAAATGGTTTCCAGGATTAGCTGCTCCACCAGTATCCAATATAAACTAACTTTCGTGTTTACTTTTATTGTACTCCCAGCAGAAAAAGTTCTTCCTTCTTTGGAAAAGATAGATAATTATAGTATTGATAAGGCTCACTCATTATGTAAGCTATTTGAAATAAAAAATAACCCGTTAGCTTTAATACTCTAAATACTGACAGATATTGAACAGATCAGTCTTTTTTTCATCAGGTACATGTACCTGAGCTTGCTGTGAGTATTAATTTGGAAGCTAAAATAAGGGATGTGGATCCAGCAAAGCAAGAAGGAAATTCCAAAAATTTTGTCTAGTCAAATGTACATAGAAACCAGTCTAAAGTGCTTTTCTTTGGAAAAGTGCCAAATAAATAGAACTGAAATGTTGATGGATTATGAGCAACATTTTGTAGTACTGTATCTCTGATTTACTTTATGTCTGGTAGTGGTTTGGTAACCATGTAAACAGAACATTTATATAAAATTTTAAAATATTTTCTTATATAGATCTCTGATTTCTTAGCTGTCGATAGTGCAAATATATTTTTGTGTGTTCTGCCTTGTATTTTTATGTTACGCTGTTTGAAATGTGCAAGTGAGAGAATATAATAGTGTTTTGCTTTCACTGCTGTGCTGAGCATCCTAAACTTTCTCTGGTTTTCTGGAAAGTGTGTAGAACTTAGCTCGTTATGGTCAAGTCTGTTGTCATTATAAGGAGAGATCTGGGTGGCATTAAACTAAATGGCCTTAATATTCTCACTCATAATTTCTGTTGTATCGTTTTCTAAGTAAAATACCATGCATCAGTGTGTCTGGTTGCTATGAAATTATGGCACTTTTTAAGTACTATAGCCACTTAGCATGAGGCCTTTGAAGCATGAAATTCATAACAACAATATGTTTTACAGTATATTATTTTCTGTTTTAGATGTGTGCTTTGTGATGGAGAACCGTTTTGAAAGAAATCTTGCTTTATTGTAACTCAGTTTAGATATTACAAGGCTTACATTACCTTTTTTTACTCAGTTGCCATGGCCTCGCACTACTACCGAACGGCTGCTGTCAGAAATGTTTGATGGTGTTGCAGCTCAGTTCCTTGCCATCCTGGAAGCCCTGTCTGATAGCAGCAGGCATGTGTTGCGCCCTGCCCCACCTGTTCCTGATGAAATTGAAATTCGTGATGTCATTTCGGAGCTTTTATTTGCAGGCCTGGAAATCCTCTCAGGTAACAGCATAAAGGAGGAAAAAGAGTGTTGATGAGGAGGCCAGACCTCAATTTTATGATTTTTTTCTTTGCTAGAAAAGAAAGAACTTGCCTGAAGGCGTATATTTCGTTTATAACAATAGCACCTGTAAAAGCAGGCAATCTTTCTTATCTTCATAAAATTTAAGACAAAAATCTGGGTTGGTCTCTGTGGTCTATTATATCAGTAAAAATCTACAGTAATTTACACATATCTTTTCTGAATACAATGGAGTTCACTTTCTCATAGCAGCCTGTACGATGCTGTGCCTTGCATTTGTGGCTAAAACAGCGTTGGTAGCACACCAGTGTTTGGGCTGTTGCTGGGCAGTGCTTGCATAGCATCAAGGCTGTCTCTCCAACCTTCCTCCCCCAAAAAGGCCAGTTGGCTGGGGGTGGGCAGGAGGCTGGGAGAAGACATAGCTGGGACAGCTGACCTGGATTTGTCAAACAGCTACTCCATACCATATGACATCATGCACAGCAACAAAACCTGGCGCTAAGGGAGAGGATGGGAGGATATTAGTGGTTACAGTGGTGCTCTTCCCAAGCAACTGCTACACATCCTGAGGCCCTGCTTTCCAGAGAGTGGCTGCATATCTGCTTGCCTATGGGAAATAGTAAATAAATTCATTTTTTTGCTTTGCTTGCACACACAGCTTTTGCTTTTCTTATTACACTGTCTTTATCTCAACCCATGAGTTTTTCCATATTATTTTCTCCCCACTGTGCTGTTGAGGAGGAGGAGTGAGAGAGCAGCTGGGTGGGGTCTGGAAGCCAGGCAAGGTTGACATACCATGGTGTTTCACTTTTTTATTTTTTTAATTATTCAAAAAAATCACACAAAAGTTAGATTTAAAAACTTAAGAAAAACACTTGATGATTCCTTCCAAACATTTTTTTGCTGGGCTCTGGACTGAATATAGCCATAGGTATAGAGATATTTTGTTAATAAAAAAATATATAGAGACTAAATACACTTCAGAATCATATTTTCTTGTTATGAATATTGGCTAATTGGAATATAGCAAGTCAAATACAATATAAACTGATTTAAAAAATTTTCTATATTATAGGTGGAGTGAGCAGTACTGATATTCAAAGAAGTCATTGCACTGATCGTTTTGGTATAATTAATGCATCATCAACTCTTCTGCAGTTGATTCTAACAGGTAAACTAGCTTTGAATTTTCAAAGGAATCTGTACACAGTGAGGCAAATGCTTGGTGAGCAGAATTCATTTTCATGTTAGTAGTAGTTCTATGCATAAAGGGACTGCAAAATGCTGTCCTCTTTGCGTGAGATATACTTGTTTATATATATAATGTTAAGGCATTCAAAAGGGATTATGTATAGAAATCATTATGGTTTTCTTAACACGAGTATTATTTAAATAGCATACAGTAATATATGGACATTGTAATCACATACTGTGCACCATAGCAGTTAATCTATATATATTAATGCCCCTAAACAATCATTCAAAGGCCAAATTCTGCAATGATGTCCTGGTACATTCTTATGGAAGAGAAGTGGGATGCAGTAACAGAAGGACTGTCTTAAGCTTGTTGAGATCCTTGAACCTATTGTTGAGCTGCTTTGGAAAATAACAGCTGTCTGTTACTAAGTTAATATTGCTAACATCTTTTATCCGAGTGCCCATGTGCCCAGGTGATATAACAATGACTACAGCATGTTCTTAGGACTGCAGAACACTGCTGAATATATTAGCTAAGACACTTAACATTCCAAGGATCAGGAAACCGCTTTTTTGCCTTGCTGTGGTTTGGATAAACTTGAAGAGTGAGAAAATAGACTCCTTATGTGTACATGCACATTTTCTGATACAGTAATCAGAAACGCTCACCTATCTTGCAAGAATGTGTTCATGTTTCTATGCATTTTTTAAACTAAATTTCTGATAAGAAGGGTCCTGATGGCGTGATACTGTTTCTGCAAAGAAAGGACCAGATCCTTGTATTCTCTACACGGGTATGTTAGTAGCAATAATAGTACAGCCTCTTTGGAATGTAACAGGACATTGCAGAGACATCATTAAAGTCGTATCTAATCATAGACATTACAGGAAAATAATAAAGCTATGTTATCTTGAAGAGCTATTAAAACATCCTTCGAGATTATGCTAACTGTTCAAAAACATGTGAAGTTTTATCTTTGTATTTATCAATACTGAATATCTTTATATATAAAACAGATAAAATATTTTTGTCATCACTGCAGGAGAAAACGGGGTGTCTGGAGATGCTGCTGTGAAATTTGTAAAATTAGCTTTCAGCTATGAAGAGTGGGATGTATTTGATTCTGCTATTGAATTTGTTGTTAATTTTCTTCAGGTAATCTGAATGCTATTTAGACATTCTTTATGTAGTCTTTTCCTATGAGGGTCAGGAAGAGTATTCAAAGTACATATTTTTTAAACAGGTTTCTATTGTGGGTTTTTTTTTTTTTCCTCTCAATTAGTCTCAAGATGACCCAACATGGAAGAAAGCTGAAATGGAACTCAAACTTCTTACACTGATGCAACCGTTACTATTTCCAAGAAAATTTAAACACAGCTTTTCTATTAGTGAAAATATTGCCAAAGAAGCTAAGATGCCTCATGATTCTGAAAAGAAGCAAACATTTAGAAGTGAGTGTTTTTCAGTTATAGATATGTTTGCATTTCACATATTTTTGCATAAATAATTTTTGTTTATTATTTAAAAATTATGTAATATAGTGCATGCAGTATTCTACGACAAAAACTAGCCATTGAGAAACTGCTACCTCTTGAAATTTGTCCAGTTTTCATTTGCCAAAACATGACTTTATACTATTTCCCTCAAGTGTGAAAGTGCATGATGGGTCTTAAACATACATCAAGTTATATGCAAAGATATAAAATGAATGAATGTTTTCAGACAAGTTTTCAGGGAAAAAGTGAAACAGACATGTTTAACTTTCTTTTTTCTGTTCTTGTAGTTCATTTATGTAAAATTTCTTGACATTGAAGCAAGAAAAACTTGTTAAAGCAACTGTAGTTTAATGCTATGGCATTCAAAAAAATCTGCAAACATCTTGAAAACTTTCTCTTTCCAAAAATAGAAATGCTCACTTTTCACAGAAGTGAATGAACTTGGGAATATCTGTCCCATTTTCAGTTTACTGTTTCTTAGACGGTATTATCTGATGGCATAATTTGGTAAATCAATTCACTCAGATGTTTTCAAAGATAGATTTGTAAGTAGAGATAATGTCTTGCCTTTCCTTTTCTTCCTTTTTTTGTAAACATTGAATGTAGAGGGTTCCTTAAAGCACGGAGAACCTTCCGATGATCTTATCATTTTGGCAACAACAGTGTTTTCCTGTGTCTCCATGTCTAAGCAGGTAATAACAGAATTAGAGATATTTCTTCTCAATGAATTGCTTAATCTGTAATGAATGCATATAATTGAAGAGCAAAGGAATCAGTTGCATGATTAACAAACTGCAAGAATATAAAAAATGAAAAAATGTAGTTATGAAATGTGATCAATTTGTAATTTTATTTTTAAAATTTGTTTCAATTTTTTTAATTGATGCTATGTAATCAGGCTACTTTTAAAATGCTTACTAGATACTAAATCTATTTGGAAAACTATAGGGCTAATTGCACATTTCAGCTAATCAAGCAGAGATCGAATTTCTTAAAGTATATTAGATTTAGGTGGGCAAATATGCTCAGCTGTAGAAAACATTTCTGCAATATTTATAGAAATGGGAGCAGTTACCCTAAGGAATGATAATGCCTTTATAGCAGTGATACGCCTGCAATTTAAGGTAAAGTCTCACTGTAAAAAACCAAACAAGCAGCAGCAACAACAAAACCAAAGAGAGCGGGTCATTTTGTGTTGAAGTCTCTACTACAGAATAATCCCATTATATATCTGGTGGTTTATTCCCAGAGTAACCACTTTTAGCTTACTTGCTCAAACTAAGATTTCTCTTAATATGTTACTGTGGGTGTAAAGAAAATTACAGTGTGTTTCTCCACTAGCATTTGCATTAAAATAGTTTGTGATCCAAAAGACTAATGACAAATTTTCCTTAGAAAAAACCTGTTCTGCTAACACGGCATATGTCTTAACTGCAAAAATTATTTCAGATGTAATTTGAATATTGCTCCAGTTGGAGTATAACTGGGGCACACACAATTTTAGCTTTTGTGTAATATTTTCATTCAAAATATCTTGCCTGTTAGGTAGGTATACCTTTAGATACCATGATTTGTCAGTTTTGTTTACATGACCATTTTATCATGGGCAGGTTACCTGGATTTAAACTCTTCTGGTTCTTCTACACTTTCCTATAAATCTCCTCAGTTCCTAATCTGTCCAGGGAAGAAAGACAAATTCTCACCTGCTTAACAGAGAATTCACGGATGGTGAAGTTACATGATACAGCTGAGCCAATCTAACAGCTTGCTGCCACCAAACAAGTGGCAAAAGTAATCTTGATTACTTCTTTTTCAATCTTCCCCCCCCTCCCCTTCTCAATGTCAATATCCCTGAAATCTTGCAGATAGTGTGGCTATAACAGGCTTGAGTTTCATTGCACCTGAGATACTAGTCCAGCTCTCCTATAAATGGTGATAAAGATGTGTACTGATCCTTAATCACTGCCCAGAATATGTTTAACACAGTGTGAGGGACTCTATTGCCTATTAAATTGTGTTAATTAGGCGGTTAACTGAATAAAGTTTTGAATTTGTTAATTATTCTCTTCCTAAGATGCAGATCTGTTTTAACATTTGTTTCAGTTGTTAGATACTCCACTCCAACCTTTTTTCTAGTTGTTTAAGTTTTCTTCAACACTCCCTCGTCTGAGATGCACCAACAACCCATGGAAGTACTTTGTCAATGGAAAATGAAACCTACTAATTTAGATATTCTTCTGCAAATATTTAAATACTGTAGTAAAAAATAATTGTAATTAACCCCCCCAAATGATTAAATTACATTACTTAGTTTCCCCCGAATGTATTAGCTATTATAACATTTGCTTGTGTCTCCCATGTAATTTTCAGCTCACTGCTTTCCTTGTCTGTGTTACTTTTATAAGCTTGACAAAAAAATTAAAAACAAAACCCCAAATCTGTAAAAGCACTTGTATTGTTGGGAGAAGAAAAGCTTGGGCAGTCTACCAGAAATGACTTTAAAAAAAAAAATTTCTTAAGCTTTCAAAACGTCATCTTTTATAAGGAAGCTAAGTATGATAATGGTTTATTTACTTTGCAAAATTTTGAGACTGTTTATGTACTGAGTGTTTTGAGAGTGTTTATATACATATCTGTTTCTACAATTGTATTTTGTTTTTTCTTTCCAGAATATCCAACCTGACAAAGAAATACTTGTTGATGTAATAATGTTTTTGTGGCAGAAGTGTAAAACAGGACTTCAGCGAATCCAAATGAGTGGAAGTGACTACATAAAATACATCCACAAATGCAAAGCTTACCAAGTACTCCTTTCTTAGAATGTATTTCTCTTAATATGAATGCAGTCTGTTATAGTAGAGCCAAGATACAACACTGGTATCCAGTCTAAGCACATTTTCTTGTGGTAAAATGCAAATAAGTCTTCTTCACTGAAAATGTGAATTGTACATACACTTTGAACACACTGTGCTCCCATATGCCAGTATCAAAATATCTCTTAGCCTTTTCCGGTAAAGTAACCCATTCTCTGTCAGTGGGCTGTGGTGGAAAGAAGATAAAACAGTGAAAGCATTCAGGCATGATGTAAGAAGCAGCATTTGCTGTGTTGTGGCAGAAAAGAATATATTTCAAGAAAATTTGCTAGATCAATTGAACAAAGTGGCAAAAACATTACAGCTTAAGAGAAGGGATACGGGGGTCAATAGTAATTGGCCCACTGGATAGAGACACAGCCTTATCTTAGAATTTGCCTGAGACCGAGAGGCTCTTGGTGAAACGCAGCCTTCTGAAGGATAATTCACGCTAGTTTCTTTAGGCTGCCAGTTGACGCTAACCAGTTTCTGGAGGAGTTAATTTTGCGGCCCTGATCCTTATAGTCAAATTGTTCAGAGCTTCACCAGAAGGTAGTGTACGGTTACTTTCCTCTGTGTGTACAGCAGGAGCATTCAGGTCTCTTTTATACTAAGTGGGAAGATATGGGGATAAATGAAAAGCAAATGAACAAATCTGCTGGAAGGCTTACCACACTATGACAAGGTATAAAAGCTATGAATATTCATAAACCTTTCTAAAATAATAATAAAATAATTATAAAATGAAAAAAGTTTGCCGTCTGAATAAATAGGGGCTTTGGAGCAGTATAAATTCAGCATCTTATCTGGTGGCATTCAAAAAAAGAAGCGAAATCTGAGAAAGGAGTTGTGTCCATGTTTATGAATTGTTTTAAACAATTTTGAGTGCAAAACTCTTGTCTACCTCTGTAATACATAAGTATCTTCCAAAAATTTGTCTTTATTCTTGATTCTGTCTTGATTGTTTTTCTTTCCTCTCCCCCTATTTTTAGTGGGTTCACATACTCTGGATAATAAATGAAGTCATTCAGAAGAGCAGCATAGCAGACACTAATGGTGTAATGCTTGCAGAGATAACTTTACGTCTGAGTGCAATATTGGAAAATGCAGCTGATTCTACAAGAAAATCTAAGAAAAAAGCAGGTAATGCTTTCAAAAAAATTAGTTTTCTTTCAAGAATAACTTTCAAGATTGGAGCTTTTCTGAGCAGAAAACTGACAAATATACACATTTGAAAATTATTCTAAAGTGGGTTTTGAGAGTAGAATGAGAATTTTTTGTACATGCAGTTTCATCCATAATTGGAGCTAATGAAACCTGATTTTCGGACGATTTATGCCTTATTTCCTTACATTTCCAGTCCTATCAAAGTAACCCGATTTTGAATCAAATCTTTTATGACTCTACCTCCCTACAGGTCTTCTGCATATCTCAGCCCCTTCAGAGTAACCTCATATGTTCTCTGAATATTGGCTAGGCAGAAGGCAGTATGCTCTGCAACTCATTTGGAGTATTCAAGTGCTGGTTGACTAGTGGCAGGACAAACAGAAGAGGGAAATACTGAGGTCATACTAAAGCTTTTGCCTTTATTGGGTCATATAATACTAATTTATTGGATTGCTTTTCTATACAAGTCTTGATTTTTGCATAGGAATTCAATTGCCTTTAAACTTGAATTTAACTTGGCTGACATTATTGAGATATAATGCAATCACAATCAAATTAAACAAATTTACTTCTAAAACCTGAGTAATGATGTAAAATATGAATATTTATACGTAGTTTAAAAAGTTCTCTGTTGTTGTGGATGTAGTATCTTGGAATATGAATCATAGTTCTCATAAAAGTTTTATAGTAGCTAGAAAGTACGTTTCAAAAACCCTTTTAGAGCATATCTAGGAACAGAAGAGAATGACAATACCTTTTGCTCTTTTGAAAGTAAGAAAATCTTCAAAGACTGCTATTGATTATAAAGTTAGAGCAGGTATTGTTTTCTGTAATGATTATGAAAATCGTGCCGTTCTGATCGAGATTGGATGATTCCTCATTGTAGCATCACTACTGTTCTTTTTCGTTCAGTTTAAATATGACTTTTTGGAGGAAAAAAAGCTGAATAGATAGGAGCCATTGGTCAAAATAGGCTGATAAACAGTCAGTTAAGCACATGTTTATGCTGAGAAGAGTTTTTACTGAATGAATGCTGAGTGAATATAGATTTTCTTATATATAGGAAAGAGACAGGGAACAAGCAGAAATAAACAGGCAAAAGTGTACAAGGAGTACAGGAATGACTAGAAGGTTGTCCTTCTGAAAGGGCAAAAAATGACTTTATTTTGGTGAAGAAATAAGATTTCGACAGGTTAGAGGGCTGTAACCAAGAACAAAGAAACTGCTTCCTCTTGTTTTGGAAAGGAAAATTCTGGATGCAATCTTTATAAATGAAAATAGTTTAAACAATACAAATGAATGTTAGAAGGGTGATAATACCCTTTCAAGGAATATTAAATTGAAATAATATATATCATAAAAACGTGACCTCACTTATTTAAAAATCCTCCTATTAGTTAAATTAGCATTAAAGCCACAGCAAATTAGGTAACAATAGATTTGAATTGATTTGAAAATGGAAAATTGATATGAATTCTACAATGTGAGGAACTACAAAATGAGTCCAAGTTTCATTGGCTTGGATATAATGTTGCTATGAAATATAGAGTACGTTTAAAAATACTACACTGAATTAGTATAATCATACATACGTTGCTATTGTGTTTAAAACACCAAAACCTTTTCATGAAACCATACAACTACATCTCATAGTACTGAAGAACTGAATTATTGCCAGACTCTTAAGTAGTGAAGCTAAGCAATTGGTACTAACATTTTCTGAGTATATTTTATTTTGACTTTCTGATTTTCTTCCTATAAAACAGGAAGAAGTGCCTCTGTCTCACAAGATGAAACATGTGATATGCCTGAAATACTGATGGTAACGTCTAATTTGTTTTTATTAATACAGTGTTTTCAATGCATTAAGAACACTTATTTCTGCTTGTTTGCATTTAATTTTATAAAGCTGAAATGTTTCACACAATCATGCTTGTGCAGAGGAAAAAAGCAAAGATATACTTTTCAAATATATTGAATTTTGAATATATTTTGAATATATATATTCAAAGATATATTTTTTCAAATGAAATAAAATCTGAAATTTTTCCTGTAATCTTTTTTAGTAGTCTGTGTTATGAAGAAGTTTTATTTGAATCTTTTTTTACAGCATGATCATACTGGTTTCCACTGTAGACTCTTTCTTACGCCAGTGTATAGTAGCAGCTTTAAATGGTTTAAAGTTCGTACAAACTTTAGTCTGTGCTTCATTTAGGAAAATATTTTGGGTTGTGCTTTTGCTTGTTTGTTTTTGTAAAGGTGATGTGGAATAGACGGAACATCCTAAGTGCCCTTGCTTTGTACAGTGTGTTCAGTGCTCAGCACTTTGCAGAAGTGTCCAATCAAATAGTTCAAAATTACTTACTAAAACACATTGAGAAGAAAAGACATTCATTAGCCTGAGGATTCAGGAATTTTGTCAATGATATCTCTTAATGCTTACACACATGGACAAGTTTTAATTCAGTGACAGTCTACTTAAAGGTGGTGTTTGCTGAAAAATAAGTGTTTTCTCAACAGCACCTAATGGAACATTGAAAAACTGCTTGTGAAAAATACTGTGTTTGTTAACTCAAGTTCGGTTTCATTCTGCTATTAGCTAACTCTTTGAGTTAGTAAATTGTTTTTTGAGAGCTGAAAGAAACTCAGTCCTAAATTAATTAAAATTACTTGACATTTAAAACATCGATATTAGTATATGAAAGCACGGGGAGCAGTGCCTGTGTAAAGAGTATTTGACAGAGTTTAAACTGCAACAGCTAAAAATAATAGCACTTTACTTTTGATAGTCCATATTATAGCTTTTAATACTGTTGTCTAATAAAATGTGTCTATATGCTTTTTCATTTCAGAAAAGTCCCACAGAACAATTACAAGTTGCTTATGAAAGTCTTGAAAAAGCAATTATTGGAATGAACACATCTCGCTTAATGGCCCTTCTTCCAGATGGAAAGTCAATATTTGACAACTGCTGTACAAAGGTAAAGTGTACAAAAAGCTACATTGCAACAAAATCTATAAATAGTGGTGGTGACACAAAACTCATCTTTCCTTCACACTTAGAAATCTTAGTGTTATCAAATGTACTTTGTCTCCCTGCCCTGTGTAAGAAGAGAATAGAAAAAATAAATCTCTGTGTAGCAGAAATAGCCTTTTTCTCTTTCAGTAATGAACTATAAACTCTTTTAGGTTTTCTTTGCCATTTTCTTTTGGAAATAATTATACTTTACAGTTTTCTCCTGTAAAATAAAGGCAGAAATCCTTTTTATATTTATTGCTTGCAGCTGTTTATTAATTCAGATATCAACTGTTGTTAGCATTCTGGACCAATATTCTACACTATCATCAACTGTTCAGAAATGTTAGCATTCTACATCAATACGATTTTTGTTTTGTGGACTGATAATGCAATAAACCAATTTTTTCTAGAGTTTCTATTTATTATTAATTCAGTTTCCCATTGATTCTTAGGTCAGTTTTCTTTGTCTGCTACCCATTCTTTCTCTGTCTAGTCATTTGCTTTCCTTCCAGGCTTTCTTGAATGACTGCATATTACACAGATATGACAAATATCAGTTTGTCAATTTGTTGAAATAATAATATCAATGTCAAGATAAAAGCAGTAAGCTGAGTAATAAAAGTTTGTGTTTGCTTAATTGCCACTTCCTATTTATTAGGTGGACCCAAATGATCAGAATTTGAATTCTCTTTTTGGATATGGTAATGATAAGACAGGAACAGGTAATGGTTTTGTAATGGATCTACACTTAGAGCTCATTCAGGCCCAACATCGAGTAGCTGTGAAACTACTTAAAATGACACAAGGTAGGTTTCAGTAAAGCTAAATGATGTTCATAGCTTGATTAAAGTCCTCTGTTAATATATTTTGTAATACTAAAAAATAAAGGAGTATCTATTTTCTGAAGAGGAGCTGATGTTGGGCAGTTTGTATGCCATGTACAGACAGAAATAATGTACTGAATTGGCAGAATTTAGATCTACCACATGATACTAGTCTCTAACCTCTGCTCAACCAGTGGGAATCAAACTTTGCTAACAACTACTGGATTTGATTCCTAGACAATTTGTTGTGGTATTTTAGTTATAATATTAAATGTTACAGCACTGTTAAGGGAGAATTGGGGGATGCTCTGCAGATTTTTTTTTTTCTGTAATGTTAATTTTCTCTCTAAAGAGTGACTTGAATATTTTATTCAATGCTCTTTGTAATCTGAATTTCTACTCCTGTGAAGCTGTCAGTATCTCTTCCCAGTCAACATCTATCCCACTCTTGCCAAATGCTTTCTGAAAAAAAGTCTTCTTGATCTCCCATTCCTGTGTTGGTTTTATTTATTTTTTTTTTTTTAATGAAAAGCTAGTATTAGTTTGACACTGTAGAGCTCCCCTCTGCACTGCTCCCTATGATCAAACAAGATCCCTCTTTTTCTGCTAAAAATGTTAGAACATGAGGGTAGAATATTTTTAGTGGCATGGTCAGTCCAAGAAATTCTCCTTTAACCAAAGAAAAGAGAATAAGATGGAGCAGAGCTTAACTACAAAACTATGTTTTAACCCCCGTCACTGGCATTTTCTCAATAGCACTGTCAGAATGAGTAACTTGGGATTTCCTTCCCACATAGGTGCTCAAAAGGATGAGAGAAGTCTTAAGTCTAGCAAGTCTCATGTGAAGAAAATTAAAGATTTCCATTATTTAACAGGTAAGGCTTATTAATCAAGATTTTAGAAGTATAATGAATTATTGCTACTGTTTTATAAATGTCTTAAAATATCTATTTTACAGAGACACTTATAATGAGAAAAATAAAAAAGAATAAACTATCCAGAGCAATCTTTTTGATGCAAAAGGCTGCACAGAGGTTCCCTAAAGAGTTGACCACTTCTTCCCAAAGGCAGCTACTGGAGGTAATAAAAAAAAATAATCTTATGGTAGAAATTCTTTATCATTATCACAGTTTTTCATGTTCTGTATAATTAAGACTCAGATTACTCCTTGTTACAAAAAGAAGAAAAAGGGAAGGGATTTGAGGGACATCAGATGTTTTTAACTTCTGTTGTAAAATCTTCCTTGAGGAGTTTCATTATGATGAAAGAATAAAGTGGCTTAAAACAAGGAAAGGGCACATCCCCAAATTTTATGCACACATGCAGCTTGCAGGAAACCTGAAAGAAGATATGATCTTTCTTTCTAAGCTTAATCACCTAGACTTTGCTATTATGATCCCATGCCTTGCCAAAATGTCATGCAGATTTCCTTCTCCGCAATGCAAGCTTCAACGTCCTTTTTCCAAGATCTCTAAGTTGTCTTAGATTACCGTGGCTGGTTATGATGACATGGACTTTATTTTATTCTTATTAAATAAACAGTTTAGAAATTGGAGATTTTGGAATTTAATGAGGCTAAACGTGTATTCTTCATGAGCTCATTTCAAAGTCTTTTAAAATCAATGGGAGTCTTTCTATTGACCTTTGTACCAGTAGCTGTCCATGAAAATTGCCTTCTCATCAGCAGGGCACAAAATTTCTTTATAGCCTGTACAACAGATAATAGAATCTACAATTCTCACTATATAATGTATGAAAAAGTATTTTAAACAAGAAGTTACTAACTAGGGTTTTTTTAAGTGCTACGAATTTGGAAGCATGATAATTAACACGCATATCCTTTATGTCAAAAGAATGCAAAAACTGATTCAGAAAAGACATACACTAAAAATGTCTCTCATATTTTTGTGAAATACATGGTATTTATGAATATAAGATGTAATGATTTGGTATGAAAGTTGTAACTGTAGTCACCAATGAAGACTTACACACAATTACCAAGAAATGTGTGGTTATCCCAAACAAACATTTACAAAGGCCTTATACTGACCTTCACTATGTTTTACTTCTGTGTACTTTTCACAGAGAAAGATATAGGTAAAAAGAGTATAATATATTTGCAGGCAGTTGCCAGAAAATGTCAGAATTAACTCTGCCTGGAGAAAGTTAGCGTGATCTTCTTTGATACTTGTACTATCATGAAATATTTAATTATATGCTCAATTAATTTTCCTCTTTGAGGTGGACTGTTCTCATTCATAAACAGCAAATTTGGACCTTTATTTTCGTGCTTCTGTGTAGAGGATTTTTCATTTTTTATCATAGAACATCCAAGAGCTCTATATAGAATTACTCTTATCTTCTGGTCTTTTCTACTGTATTCATCACGGTATGCTATGTCTGTTGTTGTTATGCTGTAAAATAGGAAAGCAGATTTTTTTTTTTTTTTTTTTTTTTTTTTGAGAAACATACAAATAACCTTTTCTCATGCAGTAAACCACCAAGCAGGTATGGAAGCTTTTGAGTCATATGTTTATATTCATCTACATCACACTGCTTAACTACTTGACCTACTGGGTACCTTTTTCTTATTTTTATTATTATTTCTCTCAGAGTTGTTTCATTTTCCTTCCTGTCCTATATGTCTAATTGGACATCCAAGTCTTTGCAGAACTGGGTACACTTGTAGTTCTTGTTGGCCAGCTGTAAAATCAAATTAATGTGATTAAGCTAATACCACAGTGCAAGTTCGTGACAGAGGCAGGAATAAAATGTGGTTTATCACAGGGCAAGTCTGTGGCAGAAGCAGGGATAAAACGTGTGTTTTTATAGTGACATTTGGCTTCCTCAACCGTAAGATTATTTCGTCTTTTGCAATACTGCCACATTTCTTATCTTCCAAGTTCTACAATTAATGAAGTACAGGTCATGCAGTACCACTCTCACAACACATGTGATAGTCACAACACTATCTTTATCCAACCTGGGGACAGTTCTATCCTTGCACTAATAAGAAATATGTCTTCAGAGAAGAATGAGTCTGTGATTCTTTTAACTATAAATTGTATCATATTACCATAAAGAAGTGTAATTTTTAAGGAAGCAATGACGTTTCTTATTACTGGTTGCAAAAGTTAAAGAGTCACTCCATTATCTTGCTCTTTATCTCATATCCTTCCCTAAACATTTCT